GTTCCCGGTGGAGTTTTTTGATGAAATTTTTATGGAATGTTCCTCATCAAGTCTAGTTTACCCACAAAAAAATTCAGCTAAAAATTCGATCGGGAAGGCAGTCAAATAATTTTTTGAAGATAACTGCTCCAACTTAAACATATAAATCGCAGTTATGTTTCAAAAAATTATTTGACTACCTTCCCGATCGAATTTTTAGCTGAATTTTTTTGTGGATAAACTAGACTTGATGAGGAACATTCCATAAAAATTTCATCAAAAAACTCCACCGGGAACCGCCCCAAACGGCGGCGGCCGGACGGAGGATCCTGTCCCTCCGGGTGGACATGATCTTTTTCCTATATATATATATATATATATATATATATATATATATATATATAGAGAGAGAGAGAGAGAGAGAGAGAGATTTATGTTCAAATGAGAATGCCATCTAGGGAGAGAAATAAGAATGAACCACAACCTTTGGATTGATTATTATTTTTAATTTACGTTTTTCTTTCTAAAGGGGTAAAAGAGATATTGTTATTTCTCTTTCGCTGTATTAATTATTTAGTAATCCGTTTAAGTAGTGGTTAGTAGTTATAATGTTCTTTCCTTATTAGTATCTTACGTACTTTTTTCTTATATATGTATTACGTGTTTATCTATGATTTTTCTTCTAAATGCATATTTTCATATCCTTAGTATATTTAAATTCAAAATTACAAAAAAAAAAAAAAAAAACATCCCAGATACATTCCCCCCCCCTACTTTTCCTTTATTCGGACTACACTATTTATTTGTATGCTTTTAACCAACATATATAACAATGAACTTTTAATGTGTTACTTTTTCATATATCGTGAATATCATGTTTATGATACTTTGATTGTTCTAATTGTGTATTATTATTATACAATATTTGCATTACATATTTTATACTCCCTCAGTCCCAAATTGTAAGATACATTTACTATTCACTTGGTCAACATAAATCACTCCTAAACTTTTATTTTATATATCAAAAGTTTATGAAGTTTGAATTATTTTTTGCAGGTTTTGTAGCGGATTTAATGTAGTTTTTGAATATGCAAATTTTATTTTCTAGAACTAATTTGGGTGTTGACAAGGATCAATTTACTTTATCGTCAGTCAAATATCGTAAACCGAAATGTATCTTACAAATTGGGACGGAGGGAGTAATTAATAGGGGCACCTTTACATATTTTTTCTAAAAAAATACTCGTAATTAACAGGGGCAAAATTACATATTTCTCTACGAGTGCACTTCTACTAATTAAGAGGTGCACTTTTATATATGATTGTCGCCCGCGGCCGCACTGGTATTAATTATTCTATTTGAACAATTGCACTTTTAGTAACTAATGAGTGCAATTTTGTATAATTTTATCGCTAATCATGATAGTATTCTTCTTAAAGATTTTCACTTCTATTAACTAATAAGTGCACTTTAGAATAATTTTATCCTAATAATGATAATGTTCTATTTGAAAAATTGCACTTCTAATAACTAACCATTGCACTTTTGCATACATTTTTAACTCTGATAATGTTTCACTAGAAAATTTAGATATTTTTCATGAAAAATTACTCAAATAAAATTTATTGATAAATATATGACCATGGTTAATTTGTGCATAACTTCACTGAGACGTAAAAATAAACATAATCATAATCACTTATATGGTCATATGTACAAGAAGTCGCATTTTGTCATCATTTTATTTTAATTGTATACTTAATTATAGACATGTCATTATTTCAAAATTTATAAATAATGTTTACCGTAAGATATAATTTTAAGATATTTATTGAAATGGGGAGCGGTGGATTGAATTATATGGAACTGAATTGTGCACTTGGTGAATTGAAATTTGAGAAATTTGTTGATTTAGTCCCGTAACTTATAGCTATTCCCGATATTGGTCCTGTAACTTTATTAACTTGCAGATTACATCCCGTAACTAATAAGTTGGTGCAATTTTGGTCCTTCTCTGCCGGAATTTAACAATTTCGCCGTAAAAGACACATCACCTGCCACATGGTATATTATTTGGAACTCATTTGCTGACTCAATGTTGGCCCTTAGCTAGAGTTAAAAAATTACTTCTTCTCAGTTGCAGCAGGAGCATTTTCAATGAAGTTTAAAGCTTTTTGGATTCATATTTTAAGAATAAAGCATTTGAAATGTTACATCAACTTCACTTCTCACATCTTTAACATGAGAAAGACCAGGAGCAAAAACACTAGCCCCACAACAACTATGAGGAGCCTTTTCTTTTTAGCCTTCAACTTTACAACCTCTTCCTCTTTTGAATTGAGTCTTCTAACCAATCCCGGAATTATCATCGTTCAACGATGGTACATAGGTGGGTCCGCCCATTCAAAAAATCTGCAACCTTCTGTCTGTATCAAAACAAGATGAAGCTTAACTTACTTTTTACTGCTTTGAACACAAAAATACATTATCAAATGCCCCCAACAAATAGAAGATGGTAATTTTATTAGCAGAACCTAGCTTAAATTATAAAATACATTTTAATTTTCAAACAAATTTATTATTCAAATGCTATTCTTAAATTTCTAGTTTATTTAGTAAAAAAAGAAGCAAACAATGTAAATTAAAAAGCTGAACTTCTTACTCTGCTTCTAGCGCATACACGAAACCTCCTTCCAGGATCGTTATCAGTCCAAGAAGTTAGAAGAGAAACCTTTTTACCACAATCACACTCCATAAACTTTTGTCTGATCGAGAGCCGTTACTAGCAGATTTGAAGAATAACTCACTCTATCGACTTAGTTCAGGAGAAATCTTCAGGTAGAGTTATGTGTTCTTCCCCCCTTTTGCAGATCCGATAATAGGCTTGGTATGGTTGTGCATGCACTTAGCGAAGAGCTTTCATACTCTTGTTTTTTAACTCCAGCTAAGGGCCAACATTGAGTCAGCAAATGAGTTCTAAATAATATACCATGTGGCAGGTGATGTGTCTTTTTCCGACGAAATTGATAAGTTCCGGTAGAGAAGGACCAAAATTGCACCAACTTATTAGTTACGGGATGTAAATTGCAAGTTAATAAAGTTACAGGACCAATATCGGATATAGCTATAAGTTATGGGACTGAATTAACAAATTTCCCAAATGTGCATTACATGATACTGAAATGTGCAGAATAAAAATTTAAACTCACGTGTGTATCAGGTGAAATGGAAATGTGCAGAATAAAAGGTACAAAAATAACATCACATCATACCTTTTATTCTGCACATTTCAATTTTACCTAGTGCACATTTCAATTTTATCTAATGCACAATTCAGTTTCACATAATGTCACTATATCGTACTCGTTGTGTTGCACATTTCAATTTCACTTAATACACATTATTGTTTCATCTAAAGCACCTTGGATTTCACATAAAGCAAACCTAACGGTTCAAATTCATTTTCATTTCTCTCCTAAGATCATGTTCTTATTTGAATCAAAATGAGACGTTGTTATATTTGATGCACATTGAAAAATTTCACTAATTTAATTAATTAATTAATTAAACTCTTAGATTACATTTAATGCACTAATAGGATAAAGTAGGTGCACTTGTATTTCATGAGCTAATGTGAATGTTGTGCTAGTTCTTTATATTCGAGGACGGTTTAAAATTGTAGAGCTTTAATATAGAGTAATAATAATTAGTATTTAGTAATGGAAATTATTTTGGATTACACCATATTGAGTGTATCCACATACACTAATACACCATATTTAGTATATTGAGTGAATATACAATCATACCCCTCCTTAATATGATAATCGAATATGCATTTATTAACACTTAAATACTTTCCTTTTCAAAAACAATATAGTGCGTACACTTGATGTAGTTTTCAGCCGTTAGATTTCTAATATCAATGACTCTAGTTTATTCTTATTTCTCTCCAAAGGAGTCTTTCTCTCCCTAGATGGCATTCTCATTTGAACATAAATCTCTCTCTCTCTCTCTCTCTATATATATATATATATATATATATATAGACACACACACACACATACACACACACACGATAGTATATAATAAGGGGACTAATAATTGAACGGGAGAATTTTTCTCTCATATGTAATTCTCTTAGGATTTTCCATCATTTGCAATGAAGTCAAAGACTCACTTTTTTTTGTTTGAAAATATGATGAAATAAAGCAAAATGGCTCACTAAATTGTCTGTGTGCTTCTTTGTTATGAAGTTGCAGTCAATCCATGTATTCTGGACGCGATTTTCACTATGGGTCATCCGGAAACAGTCTCTCTGTGTTTTAGTACAGGGGTAAGGCTGCGTACATCCGACCCCCTTATCCGGTGGGAGTCTTTGCGGTACTGGAAGATAATGATGAATGATAATGATAATGATGATGTAATTCTCTTAGGTATAAGAAGATAATGGAAGTAATAATTGAATGAGATTATTTTGCTACAAAGCACGAAGAGGATTTTACTTTAATTTTCTTTTACTTTGAATATCTTTGTATGGATTTATACTTTATTCACTTATTGTACATCATTTCACCCTTTTTGAAATGATGTAAAAATTGTAATTAAAAAAAAACTATTTTGATATTTAATATATACAGGGTATGAGCCAACTATTTAATAAAAATATATATGAGCAAGGAGATGGTTGGAGGTATGTAATTCCATATTTTGCTTCCGCTAATTATTGTATTGATCTGAACATATCCAGCAACTGTTTAGTGTGTTTAAATCAGTCAGTTCTTTCATTTTTTACCTTGATGAAAAATATAAATCATCTCTGTATGGCGTTTGGGCTCAAGACAGATTATATATCCTTGTTTCTCTTGTATATTGAATTGAATTCAATGTCCCTGGGCCCTGGCCTTCTTCTCAGGTCTGGATATGTGTCTTGATGTCCAGTTTTATTTAAATCACAGAACATCATTACTCATTAGTTGACCATATAAAAATGACAAGCAGAAAACAACAAAAAAGCAAAAAACTAAAACAAAAAGTTCTCCTTGAAGCATAAAAACGGATTTTCCATTTTTTACAAAGTAAAAACTGCATTATAAGCCGGGAAGGAGTAACAAACCACACTTATTGATAATTTCACCATACACATGTAATTGTAGAGCCAGGAACTCATATATGACACCAGAAACCAACTAAAAAGAAAAACTATCTGAAAAGCTCAATCAAATATGCCACAGAAACACACATCATTTGCCATCTTAAGAATCATCTTCCTCTGCAAAGCTCAAAGCTTGACAGATCACTCTCTCCTCATCGTCGTCGTCATCATCATCATTGCAGAAGAATGATTTCTTTCCAACCAACTCAGCAACTCTTTTAGCAGGTCCAGAATCCCTTGGACTGTCCTTCACACACCGACCAGTCTTGATTCTTGGAAGCAGCAGCATATGAGGCATCACAGGTGGGCTTTCTGGGGATTTCTCTGAATCTGATCCCTGATGCAACACAATCTCCTCAGGAATTTCCCATCTCTTTTTCACCCGGATTTCAGTTCCCCATAAGGACAGTTTCTTATCACATCTCTTGTTGTCATCCTTGTCGTTTTCCAGAGGTAAAGATCTCTTCCTCAATGCTGATGAGACAGCCATGTTCTGATTATAACGGCTGGGGATGATCCTCCCTGCCCTCTGGGATTTTTTGCTATTAGCAGGGGTAGACTTGTCAAACAACTTCTTGGGCTGAACTGAGCTGAGAAAAACTTCATCTTTCTTCACAGTTTTATTAGAGGGAAGGGTAGTCACTGCCTGTCTTGAAGGGAAGGGTTTCGCCATTGTTGTCTTTCTCTGGTTCTCCTCATCAATATCTTGAAGCTTCCAGAAACATGATTTTCGTCTGTTATTTATGGGTTGAATTGGAGTAATCTTGCCAAACAGAGGCGATTTGACTGCAGAAAGAATCTCAGATGGACCCAAACTAAGTCCTCTCCTTTGAACTCTAGCCTTTTCGCTCAATGAGAATCTTTCTTCCATCTTTTTTATCCCATCCGCATTCTTAAGGCTCTGTTTGGGTTCCAAGAACTTCGCAGTCACGGTTCTTCCTCGCCTTTCCACATTCTTGACAGATTTCTCAGCTTTCTCCATTTTCAGAGCCTCTAATCTTGAGGATAGCAAGATGATCTGCTTCTCAATCTCCTCAATCTCCTTATCGATCTTCTTCTCATCCCGAATTTCCTCTTCAGCCTTGCCGATAGAACCGGGTTTGAGATTCCCTGCTCCATACCCAGACTTGGGATTTTCCAGAGCTCTGTTCGGGTGAAGTGGTTTGACTGCAGGCGTTGGAGATTTGGCGAAAAGAGAGTTTTCAAAAAGAGGACTTCGATTCTCTTTGGTAGAAACTGATTCGAATGAATCTGCAACCTTCTTCACCAAAAGAGGCTTCATTTGAGCCCGAAAACGCCTCGGTTCTTCAGAACTTCCATGGTCAAATGCAGCATTATTCCAAATCTGAATATCTGTGGGGGTTAACCCTTGTTGGTATTGCAAGACGCTCATTTTTCTTCTGTGTGTTAAGAATATCTTCCTGAGAAAGGAAGAAATCGATGGATTCTTTCTCCGTTCTTCAAGTGTCAGGGCTTAGATTATGAAGACACCAATTTCTCCGTTTCTTGTATTTTTGAGTTTTCTGACCGTTGAGAGGGAAAATTAAAACGTTGGGGAAAAGGCTACATCTCCACCGTTGGTCAGTTCGGTCGCCAAATGGCTCCGCAAACGCTCCCATTTAATTAAGAAAAAATTGAAAACAATAATCCCAACTATTGCTGGTCCGCTGAAAATAATCCCAACTATTGATTATTTTTGTATAATCCCAACTATATAGACTATCCGCCAATAATGGTCCATGACCAGATATTACCTCTATAAAAAGTGAATTTTAAATAGAAATTAAGCGTAAAAATTAAAAGTTGAGATTATTTATAGGGATTACTTGTTATATCTCATCTCATCCACTTTAGAAACTACAAGAATTTATTCATAGGGACCATTATTGGCGGAAGGTCCCTAAAGTTGGGATTATTCTGTAATAATCAATAGTTTGGATTATTATGAGCGGACCGCCAATAGTTGGGATTATTACTATCAATTTTTCCTTTAATTAATAATGCTTTATTCACGAAAGAAAAGGAAAAATGTTAGACTCTCGAATTTAAATAAAAAGGCCAAATAAATTCTTATATATGAGGCTCCGTCAGCCCTTCACTTTTATTTCACATTTAAGTCTGCTCACAAACAAGAGTGTGACTGAGTGGCACGTAGGTCACTTAGTACTCTCATGGAAGAGTGTTGAGTGGTCCTTCTCGGGCTCAAAATTCTATTGGCAAGTAGGGCTGGCATCGGTTCAGTTCTTACTCAAAATGAGTGGAACCGTTATAAAAATTTTAACTAATGAACTCGGTTCGGTTCCTATGTAAAAAATCAAGAACCGTTATGGAACTGAACCGGTAGTAAACGGTTCGGTTCTTCCTTTTAATGATTCCTAGAATAATTTTTTCTCATCTAAGAATTAACACATAATTTAATTTCTACAAACAACCACTACAAAAAAACACTCGTTTAGTCACGGACCGTAGTCACGGATTTGGTCCGTGACTAGCCTAGTCACGGACTAGTCACGGATTAGTCACGAAAATTTAAAAAAAAAATTAGTCACGGATTTTACCGTGACTAGTGCCGTGACTACACGTAGTCACGGATTTTTGTCCGTGACTAACATCCTCCGATTGCCCGTTTGATTTTCCGGCCTGGCTTGTTTTACTCCGGCGACATAGTCACGGCCACATCCGTGACTACAGCCGTGACTAAATTTAAAAAATAATTTTGCATCTCCCATAAATCAATCCGGCAACGGTATTATGTACGGATAAATTTAGTCACGGACATGTCCGTGACTATGTCCGTGACTACTTTGATTTACACGTCATTTACACGTCATTAACACGGATCGGACGCGTAATGGACACGGTATTGCTTAGTGACGGACAAATCCGTGACTAAGTCCGTGACTAAATTTTTTATATATGCAGGAGCAGTTCATTCAACAGAACCACACCAATTCATTCCCAGTATATACAGTATCTGTTTGAAAGATCGAAGGATGTAGTCTGTCTTCTATCATTTTCCCCATTTATGCAGTTAAGGTATGTTATTTGAATTATTATTTTTATTCAGAATTAGTTGGTTCAATTTAAATTATTAAAACTATTAAATTAGTGATGTTGTTAATTAATTAACAACATATTCAACTGTAAGCGTAGTAATGTCATAAAATTAGTTAAACTGTTAGGTTTATAAAATAATTTAATTAAAATTAGTTAGCTAAACGTAGTTTTAAACGTAGTGATCTTTATGTTAATTGAAATTAGTTAGTTAAACGTACGTTAGTAATGTGTTAATTAAGTGTATTGTGACTTGTTATTGTAATTGTGTATTATTTATTAATTCAAATGACCTTATATACATGTTCAAATTATTGGGTTTAATTTGGTCATATTATTTAATTTAGTGAATTGGAATTGTTAATTGTGTAGTACTAATAACATTAAATGTCATTAACGTAATAATTTAGTTTAGGTTTAAATGTAGGTTTACAAAAATAATTTAATTAAAATTCGTTAGCTAAACGTAGGTTTAAACGTAGTGATGCATTAAAAGAGGACGGAATGAACTAGTTAAATTTAGTTAAATTTAACTAAATAAATTAGTTAAATTTAGTTAAACGTATGTTTAATTTAAATGTAGTGTTAATAAATTACTTAATTTTTTTGTAATATTAGTTAAATTTAAGTATTAGGTAATTACTTATATTTTGTGAATTATTGTTGTGAATTGTGTGCATTTCATTTAATTTAGTGAAAATTAGTTAGTTGATTATTTAGTGAAATAACTCACTTAAAATTTGTTAGTATTATTGTTAGTATTTGAACGTGTATACTTTTTTATTATAATATTCAGGCATAATGTATAAACAAAATAGAAGTTGGATGTATGATAAAGATGCGGTATTGTACGGAATGCAATCAAATTTTCTCGAGGGAGTCGGGGAATTTATTGAATTTGCACTTGAACATCCGGCTTATATGAGTGGTGATAAAATAAGATGTCCATGTTCAAAGTGTAAAAATCTCAAATTTAAAGACCCACACGAAGTTGGGTATGATTTGTACGCGGTCGGTTTTGTTCCCAATTATTATAATTGGACTTCTCACGGCGAACCTTTGGATCCATCTGTTATACCACAAACGGTAGGTTCGTCTCGTTACGTCCCTCCAGAGATGAGTGCGTGGGGAGACCGTGCTGAAATGAGGTGGGACCAACAAATGGTATATGACGCATACGGTGTACCGATGTCTCAGTTCAATCCCCCACAACCACCTAACGACCCCCCTGAAGCCTCAACCTCGTATCAACCAGATGCGGATGAAAATCCGACATTTTATCAACCTTATGTGGATGAAGGTTTGACTGAGAGATTTCAGGATGTTCTAAAAGCTGCCGACCAACCTCTGTATGCTGATTGTGAGGGATACTCTCAGCTATCCGCCGTTACTGAATTCATGAACATAAAAGCCGAATACAGTCTCCCTGAAACTTGCATGAATAGAGTCTTGCAGTCAGTAGGAGGGATGCTACCGCGAGATCATACCCTTCCAGATTCATATTACCACATGAAGCAGTTAATGTCTAAGTTGGGGCTACCTTGTGTTGAAATTGATGCGTGTCCGGAAGGATGTATGTTGTTCTGGAAGGAGGATGAGGCACTTGAGTTCTGCAAGTTCTGTGGTGGAGACAGATACAAACCTGTTCGTCAAGGTAAAAAGAAACCACGACATAGGTCTGCACTGTCTAAACTGTATTACCTCCCAATAGCTCCTCGACTGCAGAGGATGTACGCTTCGACTGCTACTGCGAAACACATGACATGGCATGTTGAGCACGAAACCAACGAGGGTATGATGGCTCACCCTTCGGACTGTGAAGCCTGGAGACACTTTGACCGCTGTCATCCTCAGTTTGCTATGGAGCCACGAAATGTGCGGCTGGGATTGTGCTCAGATGGATTTGCTCCTTTTGGCAGGTTTGGCAAGAACTATTCATGTTGGCCGGTCATGTTAACTCCTTACAATCTCCCTCCCGACATGTGCATGAAAAGTCATTTCATATTTTTGTCTTTAATTTGTCCGGGTTCCAAGGATCCTGGGCGAAAGATAGACATTTATCTCCAACCCCTTATCGAGGAGATGAAAGAACTGTGGGCCGTTGGGACACCAACTTATGATGTTTCATCAGATAAAATGTTTATCATGAAAGCTGCCATCATTTGGACCATTAGCGACTTCCCTGCCTATGGCATGCTTTCGGGATGGAGCACACACGGTTTGATGGGATGTCCGATATGTATGGAGAAATCAGGTGCCAACTGGCTTAGTTACAGCAAAAAAGGAAGTTACTTTGATTGTCACCGCAAGTTTCTCCCGGAAAGGCACCGATATCGAAAGGACAAGAAGTCTTTCATTAGAGGCAGAGCGGTACGAGAGAGCCCACCCCCGAGATTGACCGGTGAAGAAATTTATAACCGGGTTCGACGTTTTCCTACGGCTATGGAAGAGCCAAACCAAGAGCCATATGGGTATTGTGATACCCATAAGTGGACAAAGAGGAGCATATTCTGGGAGTTGCCTTATTGGAAAGACCTTCTCATCCGTCACAATTTAGATGTCATGCACACTGAGAAGAACGTCTTTGACAATATATTTAACACAGTGATGGATTTGAAAGGCAAAACTAAAGACGGTCTTGCAGCTAGGAAAGATATGACTATTTGGTGTGATAGACCCGAACTTTCTGTTGATCTAGAATATCAGGGCAAGGAAGTTCCAAAAGCAGTCTACCAGGTCACAGAACCACAAAAGGCAGCAATATTACAATGGCTTGCGTCTCAGAAGTTTCCAGATGGCTACTGCTCCAACTTGTCTAGATGCGTAGACATGAACAAACTTACCACGACGACGAGCATGAAAACTCACGATGCTCATGTAATAATGCAAAGACTTCTACCAATTGCACTAAAAGAGATGCTTCCTGAACACGTATGGTCCTGCATTACTGAAATCAGTTTGTTGTTTCAATCGATATGTTCCAGCGTTTTGGATGCGGCATCCCTCCGAAGACTACAAGATTCTGTTCCCATTCTGATGTGTAATCTAGAAAAAATAATGCCTCCATCGTTTTTCGATACAATGGAACATCTTATAATACATCTTCCGTTTGAGGCTTTGACTGCTGGGCCCGTCTTCTATCGCTGGATGTACAGATTTGAAAGGTTAGTAACAATTTCATTTAAAAAAAGAATATTTATTTCACAATAACTGTTAACATGTGTACCGTTGTTATATTGCATTATTGCAGATTTCTAGGAGAGCTGAAAAAGAAAGTGACCAACAAGGCACACGTTGAGGCTTCAATTTGTCAAGCGTATCTTCAACAAGAAATCTCAACGTTCTCGTCTTTTTACTTCGAGCGTGACGTCATCACCAGAAGGAAGAGACCTGCCCGGAACGATGACATTGGCGAGGATTTATATGAAAATGTAGTTTCCATCTTCAATTACCCAGGCAGAGGTAAAGGTGCTGCGACACAACGATACATCGTGGGTGGGGAATTGCAAATTGCACATACT